TTGAAGTTTTATTTTTAACGAAAACATACTTTGAAAAAACTCGTTCATTTTTTTTTCGAAGAACGTATCGAACTCGTTTTATACCATAAAATTGCGCTATTTTTTTTTATCTATGACTAATTCCAGTTTTATTTTAATTACTAATCTATAATTATAAATATGTGAAACATTTAGATTAAATAAAAATAAAAGTGAAGTTATAGTTTTAAAATGTAAATAAAAAATAAGAGTATAATATTAATTATAAAAATAAATGGGAAACATGTGGGACCCATAAAAAGGAAGTTTATTGTTATTGGAGGTTTATATGTGTAGGAGTGAGAATAAGGTTTTGGATGATGTGGCATATTGAGAATAGAGAAAGGAGGTTTGTGTAGTGTTGTTATAGAGATGGTCATCGTCTCTCACAAGTAAAAGTAGGCACGTGTCTGACTCCTTTGATATAATTTTTTTTTATTTTTTTATTTATTTTGGTTAATTTTGAAAAAAATATAGTATTAGTTGTTATTGAATATACTAAAATAATATAGTTGATTTGATGTAAAAGTAGAAAATAAATGATATGAAGTGATGGTTAGTTTTTTTTTTTTCTTTTTCTAGGAGGATTAATACTGGTTCCCCAATACCCCTCCAGGTGACTCGAACTCGGGATGTGGGATACGCCGAGCGAGGTATGCGCCACTGCGTCAACCCTCTTCGTCATGAAGTGATGGTTAGTTAAAATTATGTGACTGGATGAATAGTGAATTAAAGTTCATGTAGTGTGTAAGAATGGTTGATTGCTATTAGTTAATTATTTTGATAATATTAATGATAATGAAATTGAGTTAAAAGTTGAATTAAAAAAATTAATTAATTAAAATATTTAATATATTTGAAAGTTTTTTTGTGTCCAAGCATTACAAATTAATGATGAGATACTGATACAATACAAATGCTTGGACCGGTGGCTGCCAGCACAAGGCTCATAGTGGGATAGCTCTGACACAATATGCATACCTTGTTTCAGAAGTTGACACGTGGATGCTTGTTGTGTATAAATTTGTTTATCTCTGTCAAGGCCTATTTAGTAAACAAGTAATTGATTGGGTGTTGAATGTTGTGTTCGAGAAAAATATTCTTCTATGGTTCCTTTTATCCAATCAGTAGTGTACAGTTCATTGTCACTTACACTGTTAAAGTTCAAGTTTCTGTACTGACAAAATTCAACCATCTTAGGTTTTTAACCATCGGTCTTTACATGATGGGCGCACACACACGCTAAAGACAAATAAAGTACAAAACATGAAAAGAGCAAAAAAGAAAAAAGAAAATTTGAAAGTGAGAAAAGTGAAAAGATGCTTGCAACTTCTAAACACCAACTTCTATTTTATTTATATTCCATAAAGTTCAATCACTAAAGGGTGATTGTTTATGAATTCAATTAGTTTTTATTTAGTTTATTTTTAACTATAGTTAATTTTAGAAAAAATAGGTATGGTTAGTTGTTAGTGGATATATTAAAATAATATTTAAATAAAATAATTAAAATTGATATGATGTAAAGTAAGAGAAAAATAATTGGAAGTGATGGTTAGTTAAAATTATGTGAGTGGATGAATAGTGAATTAAAGTTGATTTGATGTGTAAGAATGATTGATTGATATTATTTAATTATATTGGTAATATTGAAGATAGTGAGATTGAGTTAACGTTGAGTTAAATTTGAGTTTTGATTGAATTTTTTACTATTCAATTTATATTCAATCGCCCCCTAATCTTAAAACCCTGGTATTTATGTTTTTAGTGGTTTTAAAGTTACCATATAAATTTTTTGAAAATTTCATAAAAAGTTATCTTTTTAACGTAAAAATTACAGTTTTCACTGCAAAGAAAATTATGCATTCAATTGAATATTTTTAACTATTTTTTTCTTTGATATAAAGAAGGAGGTCAACTACCTAAGCTAGCACTTATCGAGGGTAAGTCACCCCAATTCAAATATTTTTAACTATTCAAATTCTATAACTCTGTCAAAGTGTTTGTAATTAAATCAAATATTTTTTTTATAATATTGAAATACTAAGTAGAACTTTTACGATTGTAATTTTTTATTTCAATATAATTATTTTTATATATATTATTATAATATATACGGTGAAGCTCAAATTATCCAAGGACAAACACAAGTACAAGCCCATATGCACACCAAACCTACCAAGTAGGATTGACCACCGAATTCGGTTAATATTCAGCCCAATAACCGAATCAAGTCATCTTGAACTAAAAAATAATAGTCTTTGAATTTTTTTAACCGAATGAAAAAAATAATTTGTACAATTTTGAAAAAAAATAATAGTCTTTTGAATATTTCACAAATATCCACACTACCAAGTCGAACACTCACATATCATAATGAACCGACGAACCGAACTATAACTTTAAATATGTCTTATCCTATGGTTTTATGTCAATTTTTATTTCTAAATTTTTGAAATATATTCATATACATATACTAATTGACTGAAATTTAATTATTTTTTAAAAAAAATTATCATTTTTATACTTCTATTCTGTCTTAATTTAAATATTGCACAAAAAAAAATGTTATAATCGTAGTTGAGGCAACGTTCTTATTTTCCGAAAAAAAAAAAATGAAGATTAAGATTTTGTATGTTTTTAATTATAAAAAACGCTAAAATATCCATTTCAACTTTATACTAAATGGTAGTTTTTTGTATAACATAAAATTAATAATTTTATGTAAAAATGTGTCTCATATGTTAAATGAATATTTAAGAATTTAAATAAGAAAAATATATGGAATAGCTAGCTTTAACCATCATAGTTTATTTTTTATTATTTAAAAAAATATAAAAAATCTTAATTTAAAACATATAGAAAAACTTATTATAATTAGAGCTGTCAATTTGGCCTCCCGCTCCGCAAAAGGGACGGATTGGACCGAGATTTTCTAGGCCCGCTCTAAATGGGCGGGTCCGCGCGGGCCGCGGGCCATGACGGGACGGGCTAACCCGCGGGTCGGCCCACCTAATTTAAAAAAAAAATGAAAAAAATATATGTTATATATAATATAATATATTAATATTAGATTTAGTATTTAGATAAGAAAAATAGAAAATAGAAATAGAAGGGAATAGATTCAGATCTCATCGCTCATCAGATTTCATATCTCATCGCTCATCATCAGATTTCAACCTCCACACACTACAAGACCGGCGACTCAGCCTTTCCCCGCCGGTTCTCCGACCTCCGCCCACGCCTCCGCCTCCGACCTCGGTCTCCAGCGGCGGCCTTAAAGACCGCCTTCAGCTTCCGCCTCCAATCTCCGCGTCCGGCCTCCGCCTCCAGACTCCTCCGCCAGCCTCCGCCTCCAGATTCCCTCTGCCGCTTCCCTATTTTTCTCAGCTTCGCCGCTTCTCCATTTTTCTCTTTTGAGTTTGGATGCGGTGCTTTTTTTTTATATAGATAAAGAATTGGGCTACTGCCCAACCCAAACATTAACTTCGTGGGCTGGCGGCAGNTATAATCATAGTTGAGGTAATAACTAATCTTGGTTTATTTTTCAAAAAAATTCTTTATTTTCAAAAAATGAAGATTAATAATTTGTAGTTTTAAAAATATAAAAAAATATGTTATATTATATTTTAGTAATTATTAAAGGTAAAGATTGTTGGTTAATATTAAAAAAAAAGAACGTATAAATAAAGTCAGGTTATATATATTATATTGCAAATGAATATATATATATATATATATTTTATTTTTGAACTAAAAAACATTAATTAACACCATATGTATTTTATTAATTTTAAAAACATATAAAAAATATATTTACTCTAATAATTAGTAGTTTTCTTTAAAATATAAAAACTATATTACAATCATATACCGATCACGATATAATAACTGTTCTTAATGATTTATATCTATTAATTAGTCATATATAACCCACTCTTGTCTTCCACAATTACCCACGTTCATTTTCTTCCTCACCCTGCCGGTTAAAAACTGTCTATTCTTCAACTACTTTTTTTTTTTCTCGAGATGTGCCACAGAAACAAGACCATGGAAGAAAATGTTGTGGCACACAAACTATTGAAAGGAATGAGTTAGTATATTTGAACTTTTCACCGCCGTTATATGAAGGAAAGAGTTCTTTCAAACCTTGAAGTAAGTATTGGCTGACAGAAAAGCACATATTCAACCTATTGTAAAATAGAAAGTGTCACATACGAATTACATGAGATGATTTTTCATTGACAGGTATCGATCTGATTATATTGAATTAGCTATTTATAATTTCATGTATAATTTAGCATATGCATAATTAATATATTTATAATTGTAATCTATCTTTTCTTTTTTCTTTTATCACAGGAGAGCAATTGAATAAAAAGATTGAGAAGCACGATAGGTTGTGGCTTGACCTGAAATGTCCACCAATATTCTATCTACTATTTTGTAGTACTCGGGTGAACGAAATGTAGAAGGAAAAAAAAAATACACAACTAATATTCACGTAGGATTGTTTCAAAGTACAAATTTGCGATTTATTTTTCGATGGCACTACAAAATCTTCTAATTAAGTTATTAGGAACTTATTGCCCAATTTTACATCACATTAAATACACGACATATAAACCCATAATCAATCATAATAATCTCGCAATATGAATCAATCAGTCAAAGTTCCAAACTATCAAATCACAATTTGTGAATATTTATTAGGAACTTATTTGGTGAATATTTATTAGAAATGTACAAAATGCCCTCTTAAATTAGTCAATGCCAACAATTTGTCTAGTGGGCCCCATAAGCTGCCAGGTGGCGATGCAAAATAGAACCGATTTCTGCATGCATGCGTGCAGGTGGCATTACCCAGAGTATGAACCAGAAGAGAAGAAAATGATAAAATTCGAAAGATAAAAACATTCGGTGGGTTAAATCACCAGATAACTACAAAATACACAATAATTACAAGGTACAACTTCTTACAGCGTCATCAAACTGAACAGATGTCAAAACCGAAGCTAGTAATTTGTAGGCGTGGCAAGCAGAGCATAGCCCCCCGAGTACACGTGTCACTTCGTGCACAACAGTATGTCTATTTAAATGTCAATTGCGACCCATTTTCACTCTTGATTTTACGAGTGTTTTTTGTTTTTTTAGCTCCTTAAAGTTGTTCAGACAAGAAATCGAAGCACTCAGAGAATGAAGGTTTGTGTTTATTGTTATTGTTGCCTTGTTTTCTAATTTGCCGCATGTTCTTTGCTGTTTACTGAATCTAAACTGTTTAATTGAAATAAGAATTGGGTTCTTCATTTCGTAATTATATTAATATAGGAGCTGAGTTCTTGAAATTACTAAAGAGATTAATACAAATTTGGGTGAGCTTATGGTTTAATTTTATACTCTCGTTTTACCTATCTATATCTAGTAATGGTACTAAATCTAATTAGTAAGTATTGTAGCAGTTTGTAAGTTTTGGAAAATTTTAGTCCTGCTATTAAGGATTAGTTTCCAATATATAGAGAAGTACTCATCAAGAGAATTAAATGTCATGCAATTCCCTAAGATTACCAAAGCTGATCATTTTTTTTTTTTTTCNCCTTTGCTACTTAATTTGAAATTTAAAAAAAAAAAAAGTGATCTTATTCAGTAACTCTACTTCAAGGAAAATTTCTTGAAAATCCAAAAGAAATTGCCATAAATTTAAGTCAACTAATCATTTAATTTTTTCCATCTTACATTAAACTTTATCACAGTACTCCGAATCATCCAGGTAATTGTTCATTGTAATTGGATTTAATTCATCCAATTTTGTCTCCACGAAGTACTAAATCTTACAATTTAGTACTGTAGCAGTGTATATTACTATTTTTTCTTACTTCCATCTTATGCCAGGCAAGAAATCTTTCTCCAATTTCTTCTCAACTGAAAATTTCCAGCCCCGTTTATTGGTTTATTCGAATATGTCTAAGCGCTTGACGATTTCGCCTAGTGTAACCAAAAGGAATCAAAAAGTTACCAAATTTTCAATAATTTTTCGAGCTAAATAAATTTCATTAGCTGACATTTTTTTCCGCACGCGAAAAGGTTCACGAGACGAGATCCCATGCACAAGCCCCTGGCAAGGAAGAAAAAATGGTGACAAGAAAGCAAAAGGCAGAGTCAGAAGCCGGGCAATCTCCCAAGAAGGCTAAGACGGAAGACGAAGGGCAAGACGGTCAACCGAGCAAAAAGTCTATTGAAGAGATCAAAGCCGAGTTTGAGAAGTTCTGTAAGGCCACAAGCGAACACCTCTCGATTCAGCAGATGCGCGAGATTCTCGAAGCCAACGGTCAAGATTCGAGCGGGTCAGATGATGCTGTCGTGCCTCTATGGTTAGTCAGAGTTTTACTTATTTGTTCATAATTTTCAAGAAGAATTTAGGAGGGAAAAAGGTTTATCTCATTATTAGTAATTATTATGTTACTTAAATGTATGAATGGTGGTAATATTTGTTGTGTGAATATATATCTCTTTTTTTTTTTTTNGATATATTGTTTAACGGGCCGTTGGGTAACTGTGAAATTTGTGGGGGGACTTTAGAAGTTACGGAGTCATATTACGTGTGCACGGGTTCATATAGTGAGTGGTCGAGCTGTATTTACAAGACGCGGGACCCGCCAAGGATTGACGAGCCAATCAAGTTGCCAAATACCATCAAAGATTCTGCTGTTATCGATGTAATGTAGTTGGTTCGCATGTGGGTTTTTTTTTTTTCTTTTTTTTTTTGGGAACCTATATTTATTTTGATTGTTAGTGACATAATCTGTGTATTTTGGCCTCGTTGGAAATTTTAGGAGTTTGCCTGGTGTAGGAGTTGATAAAGAAGATAAGTTTGAGATAGATCTGATGGTGAGTATATCTAACATTTTATTTTCTTTCTTTCTTTAGTTTTTTGGCAGCTTAAACAAACTTTTTTTTTTTGCTGAAATATAAATTTTAAATCGGCTCGTCTTGATTCTGCATTTCAGGCACCCCCACCCCAAGCAAGATCATCACCAGAAACGGAAACCAATATTGATTTGAGTGCTTCAGCCTTTGCTGATCGGAAGCCCCTTCCATTGAATCTTGATAGAGT